AGTCGCAGTGGGGCGGCTGTGGCTGCGTGGTTAGAGCAGTCGTCCTCCAGTGGGAGAGTTGGGGGTTCGGTTCCAGCAGCAGTCGCATGTTGAAGTGTCCCTGAGCAAGACACTGAACCCCTCATTGCTTCTGATGTGTCCCATCGGTGTCTGAATGTGATGAATCTGATTAATCTCTAAAGATTCAGATTATCTGTAGAGATGTAGTCGAGTGCTGTATGAATGTGTGTGCGTAGTTAGACCTGTCGCAATAAATCAGTTAATCGGCCTGTAGCAATAATCAATAGTCAATTAATCGACCTGTCGCAATAAATCAGTTAATCGGCCTGTAGCAATAATCAATAATCAATTAATCAACCTGTCGCAACAATCAATAATCAATTAATCGACCTGTCGCAATAAATAAATTAATCGACCTGTAGCAATAATCAATAATCAATTAATCGACCTGTCGCAATAAATCAGTTAATCGGCCTGTAGCAATAATCAATAAATCAATTAATCGCATGATAAATGAAAATTATTGATCTCATTTTCATTTATCGGCTTCTTTGTTTCTTCGTGTCTCTCTTTCTACTGAAGACACTGGACGACAAAGGGACCAACTCAGGTGTTCTTCACTGACCCCGTCCTTTCTCTTTGATCTTTAAAATCTGTTTTAACGTCCAAAATCATGTTTTTGGACGTTAAAAGCAGCTAAGCTACGAGCTAAGCTAACAGGCGGACCTCGGGAACAAACCTCCGTCTTGTCGAAGCTCCAGAATTCACGGTTGAAACTCGTGTCTTTGTGTAAAAAGTTGTTTTTCTCTGCAAAATAATCTGAGAACTTGTTTACTGATTTTTTTTATTAAAAGTTTTGTGTGAAAAATGCTAAAGAGCTCAAACCACACCGAGCGTCCGCCATGTTGAGAACTGAAGAGAGACAGCCCATGTCACGTCAAGGGGCCTCCCTCACATTTGTCTTAAAGAGACACGCTGCTCGCTCCCTCGCTATCCATCCTTCGCTTCAAACAGTCTTATACTGCCATCTGGTGGTCAAGAAAGTTACTACACTAAAAAAGCTACCAACATTTTTTCTTAAATTTGACAATAATGACTAATTATTGTCAAATTTCAAACAATGTTTTAGTTTATCGCAATAATTTCTGAGACGATGAATCGCCCGGCAGGATTTATCGTACAGGTCTATGAGTAGTAGCGTGCTGTATGAATGTGAGTGGAGGTAAACGAGGACACACATTGAGTTGTAAAGATGTTTGAGCATCTCCTGATGCTGCTCAATAATCCATGTAGATAAATGTAACGGGGATGTCGGGTTCTTCTTACTACAAAGAAGAACCCCTCCAGAGGACCCGACGTCACCTTGTTAGTGTTGAGTATCTTTATTAGACAGATGTCCCGTACCAGTACAGTCCATTAACCAGTTACCGTTTCCTCACCTTCAGGTACAGGTGAGGTGGTCGCCATCATGATCCCCGAGCCCAAAGGCCACGAGGTCGTGTCCCTGCTGCAGCGCAACATCACCGTCACCATGACGATCACCATCGGGACGAGGAACCTGCAGAAGTACGTGAGCCGGACGTCGGTGGTGTTCGTGTCCATCTCCTTCATCGTGCTGATGATCATCTCCCTGGCCTGGCTCGTCTTCTACTACATCCAGAGGTTCAGATACGCCAACGCGCGAGACCGAGACCAGGTAGGAGCACGAGCAGGACGTGGTCTTACATTTCTTTGCTTGTGGACTCGAAGGTAAAGAAGTCTGTCCCTCTCTTCTTGCCATCTTCAGCGTCGTCTCGGTGACGCGGCGAAGAAGGCCATCAGTAAGCTCCAGGTGCGCACCATCAGGAAGGGCGACCAGGAGACGGAGGCCGACTTCGACAACTGTGCCGTCTGCATCGAAGGCTACAAGCCCAACGACGTGGTCCGCATCCTGCCCTGCAGGTAACCTCGCACTTTGACCTCTGACCTCAACACCGAGCCCTGACGAATCAAACGTCAGAGATTTACGTCAAAAACTGGAGTCGGGATTAAAGAGACGAGGTCGTCTGAAGTTTGACTGACAGGTTACTGGTGTGGACAAATTTGTTGGTGGTTTTTAAAGAAGAACCCGTTTATTCTTCTTAACGTTTATTTTACCAGGAAAATCCCATTGAGATTAAAAACCTCTTTTTCAAGGCAGACCTGGCCAAGAGGCAGCAACAGATACAGAACAT